AATAATACCCTCAATATTTCGCAATCAAAAAATTCTGCGCTACTTTGGATGCGCATTACAAGGGGATTTTGAACAGCTGGTCTGCTTAAAAGTGCAAAACGTATTCCCCTTTTGATAATCATCAAATCAAAATCACAGCATTTACATTTTTCATGATTATGACGTCGTGTAAAAGCAAAGTGCATTTCAAACAGCGATATTTTTAGATTCTGATAATCACAGAACAATTTTCTATAAATGATTGCACGTCATCTGCATTATTGAGCATCAAATTCTGTTCATGATATTTAGTTGGTGGCAATTAAAGAAATAATACTTGCAGAGTGAATTTTATTCCATCTAAAGTTTGTGCATAAAACTGAAAATTTGGTGAGCTTCCGTAAAATGCAAGTGATCGAAGTGGAAATATTCAAAGGATGAAAAGCGGATGTGGAGATATTCCGGAGATAAACTGTGCGATTCGCGCTCAACTGAATAAGTAGTTTAACTATGAATTTACTTCTACAGGATCGTTTTTTGGAGCAAAAAACTCGAACATAACGATACGAATGGATAGACACAATGTGGTGCTGGTTGCTCCAGAATGTTGGTGTCCAACCGATATTATACAACTCTTCAGAGCCATTTCAATATTTGGCATTGCAGCACATACCGTCTGCGTGAGTTCGTTGCATTTTCTAAGCTTGCAAAAAAAGTTTTTGTGGAATGAATTTTACGATTCACCGAAATTGATGAATAGATGAACGGAAGCATGAACAAACAACAACTTGAGAACACGCCATGGAATGACAGGCTCATTGCATGACAGTTTAGCACACGAGAATGCAATTAGTGCAAATGTTTGCTTGCTTGAAGTGTGAATTTTTTTAGATGGACGCATCAATTTTTGAGATGATCACCGCGGGTATCTCCACCATATTGATACAAGATCGATTTTCATTACGTGACGAGTTTATGAATCGGCTACGATTTTTACCACATTTAAGAGAGGTGGTCATTGCTTGTGTTCGGTTGTTTTTTTTTTCAGTTGGAAAATTATTACGAAGAGATATTTTCAGAAAAGTAGTTCTTCTATCAATGCTTAGTAACGAGCACAGTTCTATGATTCCTACTTAGTCAACTCCATACGGAACACGTTTTAGTAAGTGCAATATTGAAACAATATATGGCAAATTCAAGAACTATGATCATCGTTTAGGAAGCATCATATAATTGTTTGCAAAGAAACTCTGTCGAGGAGAGAAACTCTTTTATCAATAGCCGAATACTTTGCTAGGTAAAGAACGTTGTCAAGTGATGTGTATTACTCAAACTCAAGTGAAAATCAAGCTTGAATATTGCAAATCAAACATCAATATAATATTTTCAAAAGTTGTTGCTGTTTTCAGCTCACACTGAACGTTCCACTGAAAGAGCTGCGTTGTTTATCGCGAATTTCTGGCTATGGCCTATGTCCCGAACGAATCTTCGAAAGACGTGCACTCAGCATTTGTCGTCTATGTTTACCGTCAACAAATCGTCCGAGTCCAGCATCCGATAAAAACAAGATTTCCAATCGCTCGATCAATGGACACGTGAATACGTTCAAAAGATGGATAGATGCGACATCTCTTAAAGAACGATACTGTCAACACTACTATTGATGACTTTCACGATTGATGATCACTTCAACTGATCATCTCTCAGTGGAAGTGATTTCTGTACATAGGTGGGTGGTGATCAACTGGTACGAGCTGCACATGAAACAAGCATCTGGGACTGAAGTTAAAACCAAACAGAAATCTTGGCAGGCGCTCTTGACGTGACTTCTCAGTTTCTAAAGTCACATATTTGAGATCTTCAAAAGCTTCTGCATTCTTAGAAGTTTTCGACGATC